AGACATTGGAAGGGGCTGCCCAGGGAGGTGTCCAAGGAAGGTCTGGACATTTGGGACATCAGGAGGAATTTCCTCATGGAAAGGGTTGTTAAACACTAAAAGGGAAGTGGTGGATTCCCCATCCCTGGAGGTATCCAAGGAAGGTCTGGAGGTATCCAAGGAAGGTCTGGAGGTATCCAAGGAAGGTCTGGAGGCCTCCAAGGAATGTCTGGAGGTGGCACTGGGTGCTCTGGGCCGGGGGACAAGGTGGGGATGAACCACGAGTTGAACTCTGTGATCCCGGAGGGCTTTTCCAACCCCAAGGATCCCGGGATTCAGCCCGGGCAGCTCAAGCTGGGCCTGTTCTCCTTGCAGAGTTCCTCCAGCTGGCCAAGAACTTCGAGGAGCACCGGAGGAAATGGCAGAAGACGGAGCAGGAGCTGGGCAGGTACAAGGAGCTGCTGATGAAAACCGAGGCCGAGCGAAGCGCCCTGGATGTGAAGCTCAAACACGCCCGAAATCAAGTGGATGTGGAGATCAAACGCAGGCAAAGGGCTGAGCTGGACTGTGAGAAGTTGGTGAGTGATTCCTCTGTCACCCCTCAGCTTTGAGAGCGTGGGGACAAGGTGGTTAAACCTTGGGAATAACAGGAAATAAGGGAGGAAGAGGGAAAAAACCAGCGAGGAATTGGCTTGATGTGGGGAAGGAGAGTGGCTGCTCCTGGAGCTGAGCTGCCTTTACCTGTCTAGAGCCATTTACAGTCTGCTGACAGGAGTCCTGAGAGATTATCTCTGCCTTGTCCAGTATTGAATATGCAAATATGACACAAAATGTAATTCTGCTGGCTGAAATAGCTAAGTAATCATTTATCAGTTTATTTAACTGATAATCCAGTTACTATACGAGAAGGTCATGAAGCAGGTCCATCCTCTCTCTTATAAAATTCCAGAAGTAACTGGTGGGAAGCTTCAGGAACAGCTTTGCTCTGGCACCAGGTTGTGCCTTCAAGCTGAGCTCTAATGTAGAGATCTGCTGCAAAGCCTTTGCCTCGTTTGCATTGGCAAAACTTCCAAAAAAAAAAATTTCAAGTCTTCCAATCACATCAAAAGAGTTTTTTTATTTTCATTTGCTCTCCCCTTTCCTCGCTGTTCCCCCAAAGAGAACTTAAATGGTCTCTCCTGGAAAGGCACCTCATTCTTTACCAAACTTCAGCTGGGGTCTCACAGTAATTAGGGACAGTTTGTGGGGTCTCACAGTATTAGGGACAGTTTGTGGGGTCTCACAGTAATTGGGGACAGTTTATGGGGTCTCACAGTAATTAGGGACAGTTTGTGGGGTCTCACAGTAATTGGGGACAGTTTATGGGGTCTCACAGTAATTGGGGACAGTTTGTGGGTCTCACAGTAATTGGGGACAGTTTATGGGGTCTCACAGTAATTGGGGACAGTTTGTGGGGTCTCACAGTAATTGGGGACAGTTTGTGGGGTCTCACAGTATTGGGGACAGTTTGTGGGGTCTCACAGTATTAGGGACAGTTTGTGGGGTCTCACAGTATTAGGGACAGTTTGTGGGGTCTCACAGTGTTAGGGACAGTTTGTGGGGTCTCACAGTACTTAGGGACAGTTTGTGGGGTCTCACAGTAATTAGGGACAGTTTGTGGGGTCTCACAGTAATTAGGGACAGTTTGTGGGGTCTCACAGTATTAGGGACAGTTTATGGGGTCTCACAGTAATTAGGGACAGTTTGTGGGGTCTCACAGTAATTAAGGGACAGTTTGTGGGGTCTCACAGTACTTAGGGACAGTTTATGGGGTCTCACAGTAATTAGGGGACAGTTTATGGGGTCTCAGTAATTAGGGGACAGTTTATGGGGTCTCCCAGTAATTAGGGACCGTTTATCCATGGGATCCACGTTTCCAGGAGCGGCAGATCCAGCTGATCCGGGAGCTGCTCATGTGTGATTCCTCGGGCAGCATCCAGCTCAGCGAGGAGCAGAAATCTGTCCTGGCCTTCCTCAACAGGCCCAAGGTCTCTGTGGGGGGCTCAGGCAGCAAAAGGTAGGAAAAAACACCTTTTTTCCTCAAGTTTCAGGTCTCAATTCGGCCTCTGCGCCACCTTCCAACAGCTTTAGGTTTGAAATACGACTCTTGGGACTCACTGAGATTGTTCTGGAACTCAAAGCCAAACTGATACAAATTTCCTCCTGATTT